TAGTGCCTTGGTTTGTGTTGAGAAGGTTATCTTTGCAGCCAGAAGGGGTAGAAAGAAGACATTTCATTTATAGAAAAGGAAGAAAGCACAATAAAGCAAAGCCTCTGGGAAGATTACAACGCTGTGGGTTCCAGGAGTTACTTTATGTGTGGATTTTTTAAACTGTCCTTCCCACTTTCAGTTGGGCAAATGATTCTGCTATATTATAACAAGACAAAGCATTACAATGAAATAATATCGTTGTAATACTATGTGACTTTAAAAAATCTTACTAATCAAATATAATTAATGTAATTAATTACCTTCAAGTTTGTGACATAAAGAAGAGTGTGTCATGGAGGCACTGTTCTGTGGGTAACCTTGGCAGATCCTTCCATAGGCAGGAGAAGGTTTGTAGTGCTGCTGGTGTCTGTTGTTATCCTCAGTGGGTGCCAGCCTGTATAGCTAAGGTGGCCCCTTTAGCCTGTGTGTTGTGCTCCTTGATGCTGGAAAGACAAATTCCTTCCAATGCCTTGAATCTACACTAAACTTTGTGGCACGGCTGTAAAAGCAGGAGGGAGCAGAGTTGCTTGATTCCAGTGTGAGCAATGGTTAGGTTCCCTTTCCTTTTACACCCCTGTGTCATGGCTGATTCTGCTGTAGTAGCAGGTACAAAATAATTTCTTTTGGTTTCTTATTTCTTCATTTTTCTTTTCTGCTGATTTAATGATCTGAAATGGACTTACTAAAGGACAAACCTCTCCCCCACAGGAGTTCTCTGTGCTAATAGAAGTTTACAGAAGAGTCTACTAGCAAAATCTCAGCTCTGCTCTGTGCGGCCACAAGGAACTCAGATCAGATGATGGCCCTTGTGATCATTAAGTGACCATAAAACATCAAAATCCAGAATTCCCTTGACTAATTTGCAAACAGACATATTTGCACTGCACATTAGCAAGCTAATGCTCATTTGACGTTGTTTTTTTTTTTCTTTCATGGTGACCTTTTTTCTAAAGGAGAAATGCTGCAGGTAGAAAAGGGAATTGATCACTCTACATTTGTTTGTATTTGAACCAACTGAACCCAAACATAACATTAAATAGATACATATTGATCAGGATAAACTACCTTTGCCTTTCCCTGTTATTGCTGCTTTGTAAAACATGCTGGGATATCTGTATGAGGGAGCAAAGCTGGATTTATGGTGGTGGAGAAGTAAATGTTTGGCTCAGCTCCAAAGTTCACAACTTTTTTTGTATGTACAGTTCCAGAATCAGCATTTGCTGGGAAATTCTTTCTCATCCCACCCTAAACTTCCACTGGCTTTTCCTGTGGTTGAATTTGCAATGTTAATATTTTTTAATCAAAATTAAATGGCCAGCTAACAGTAAGTAGGAAATTATCCTTGAATTCTTCTATTTTGTGACAGAACTTGTATTGCATGCACAACAACCCATGAGAGCAATGCCTGGGCCAATTAAATGAATGTCTATGAGTTGTTATGGAGTTAGGAGGCATACTGTCTCCAAAAATACTGCAATCAATTTCTTACATGTATGTGATGGCCCCATGTAACATAAATTTCTAAAGATACCAGAATATTTTAAGAAATATATGGGTTTTCTCCATTTTATAGTCAAAACACATAGTCACCTTTTCCTAAACCAAGAAAATATAATTAAGGGTTGCTGTTTGCCTGTGTGGCCACTTCAGCCTTCAAGGGACTGTGTTCTTGTGATGGGAAAAAGGTATGAGATGGTGTGATTCCTTGAGTGCTGCTCCCTGGGTGAAGTTAAATGGTTTAGTTGTGGCTGGTCCTTACGAATGTGGATGAGAGGAAAGAAGGACGAAAAAATCAAGTTTGTGATGGAAATTTCATGAAAAAGAGGTCAAATGCTCCTTCTCTCCCAAGAGAGCTCCAAGAACGTCAGTCTGAGGTCTGTTGGTTTTTTTTCCTTTAAGAAAATATTTGCTGCTTCTTTTCTACATTCCTTACACAGTCTAAACAACATTGAAGCCAAAGAGAGCTGGGTCTGGATGATAAACTTATTCTGGCTTTTTTAGTGTTCAGTTGTGAAATTGCTGATAGAAAAACTTATCCTTTTTAAAAATTTTTTAAGCCATTCACTTAAAGTGCACTTAAATGGAAGCAATTTTCTCATCATCTTCTCATCTAATCATGTCAAAATCATTTAACACTCAAAGATAGCTGTATTCACTGGGGGTTGTGGACATGCACCCTCTTTCTCTTCCCCTCTGTGCCAGGTAAGAGATCTTGCTGCCCTCAGTTCTGGGTGTTTGCTGCTTGTCAGTGTCTCCCTGGCCAGACACCATCCTCTCACCTGCCTGCCCAGCCAGGTCAGCCAGAGGTGCTGCTCCCTGAATGTCTGCCTGTTCACTTTGGTTGGAGATGCTCTGGGGTGTTTGCCCTGGCACTGGGCAGGGAAGGGGACACTTGTAATTGAGGCCTGTGACAAGAAGCCAGTTGGCAGGCACTAACCTTTTCCCCTGGCACAGCTGTTTGTGGAGCTCCCATCTGCTCAGGATTGTGGAAAAGCTGGCTGGATCAATGTAAATCACTTAAACCTCGAGGCATGGCCGTGTTACCAGCAAGGTGCCGCTCCTCTAAATGCCATGATTAATAGCCAGAGTCTGGGGGGATATTTTGCCCATGAGTGCCTACAGCAAACTGATTATAGAAGAAATCAGAAAATTGAAAGGAGAGTTGGGGAAATGTTCTGCTAACGCAGACTTAACAATATGAGAAATTGCTCAAACAGCTGATTTTTAGCATTTGTAATGCCTTCCAGCATTGCAGCATTCCTGTCTCAGGCAGGTTGTACTGTAGGGGCCAACAAATCAGTGTCCTGAATGCTCCATGTCTCCCACAGTGGCAGTGGTAGAACAGGGTCATGTATGTGTGGGACTGTGCAAGAGGATGAGACAGCTCTTGGGAGGAAGGCTGTGAGACGGGTTACACAGGAAGGTTCTGTACAGACCCCTCATCCTGGCTGGATAAAGGTTGCCTTTAGAAACCCTGCCCTGCACCAGAAAAGCAGGGGTCACACATGGCTGCTCAGGCCATCCCTCTCATTACTGGGTCATGATGTTATTCCTTTTCCAGGCTGGGGCAGAGATCTGCCACAATATCCCAAGAGTGTTTTGGTTTTGCCTAGCTTTAAACATGCTGGGATCTAATGCCCATTATACATGCTGTCTGTTGCAGCTATAGTCTGACCCCGTGCTCTCAGTATTCACCTTGCATTTCAGAGGTTTGCTGGTAAAGTGATGCCTGCAAACCCAATGGTGAAGATTTATGTCAGAAATCTGATAATGGATTTTAAAAGATCCTGTAATGGAATAAACTGTATTGACAGAATGACTTATTTTCCTTTTATAATTACATTTTTATTACCTTTTTTTTTTTTTTTTGATTGCATAACTGTCGGGGAAGACACAAAATTATATCCTATATGGCATAGCAATATCAGCAGCAATCCTGCCAGAAGAAAAAATAAATCCCTACAATTTATTTTAGAGGTCAAGAATAGTCCAAAGTTACTTTTCTTTTAAGTTGCTAGATGCTGCCTAAATATTAGGCTGCTTTTTGTCTGCAGCAGACCCAGAGCACCCATGCAGACACACCAAGCTGGACCTCATGGCTCACATTAGGTGCATGAGCTTGGCCACGATCACCTGATTATGTCTGGAGATTCAGGCTGAGGATTGCATGGGGAAGCCTGGGGAAGGTGGTACTGCTACCTGCCAGCCCTTCTCCTGCTCCCTTTGCTCATCAATCAAATTCTGGGCTGCCTCAGCTCACAGACGTAGTTTTAAGGCAACAGAGGACTGGTGATCCTTGTCTGAATACACTGTGCTGTGGGCTGCAGCCTGATGAGCAGCTCAGGTACAGGGATGAAGGAGAGGAGGTGGGCAGGAGGAAGCGCACCAGCTCAGCCCTCCCACCCATCCATCAAAGCCATGAGCCATGCAGTGTTTTTCTAAATGTAACAGCTCTGCTGCTTCAAGGACACTTCTGGTGTCACAAATGCTGTGGCTAAACCAGGAAATCACTCATTTTGTACTCAAGATCAAAGATATTTGAGTGTGGTTCTTCTAAGGTGATGTGTACAATATAAGGTAAAGTCACTTTGTGTGTGTTTCATTGGGTCTGGCACTCCCAACCTGTCACATTTCAGAACATCTGAGGGTCAGTGTCTCACCAAAATACAGCAGGTGGCTGTGCTGACTGAAAGGGTAGCTTGGGGTATAGATAGTAAAGCTGCCTATAGATGAAGCTGTTTGCAATACAGAAATAAGAGGTTTCTTGTTTCTTTAGCTGGGTAAACTCCTAGCTCTGGTTTTGACCCTTCAGGGGATTACAAGTTTGATACAAAACTTTAAAGTCTAGCAAAACTTGCTGGTTTTAAGTGATTTAAGTAATGTTAATTGGGTGAGGGTGCTGGTTTCTTCCACTATGCCAGCAGCAAAGAACTTTTGATAAAACATCTTCTGCTACCCTTTATTTCTGGAGACTACTTTCATGGCTAGCCGTGATGTTTGTTCAGGTTGACATCACTTTGCTTACAAAGAATTTTCCAAGTCTGGGATGAGGGATAAATCTGTTTTTTTTGTTTAGTCTGACCTGACCTTCTGCAATATAATGGAAGAAAAGAGAGACTGTATTTTTTTTATTGCTTACGAGTCATGATATATTGTTACAATGTATGGAAAGTGGAGTTCTCTTAAATGTCATTGTTTCATCAGAACTAACAGTAACATGACTGTAATTATTTTGTATTGGATTTTACTGCCTGGGGATAAATAAAGTATACTGTATTTAGCATTTTTCCAAACCCATAGAATCTGTCCAAAACCACTCCAGGAGTTAACTAGAATGCTAAAGTTCAAACATTCCTTGAATAGTCATCCTATTTGATCTAAAGTAGGCCATACCACTTTGCTGCTTTTTGTGATTTTAACCTGCCTGCTTCCAATATATTCCTCTTTCTTATTTTTAGCAATTCATCAAAATGAAGAAAACAGCAGTCAAGAAAGAAGAGGACTAGAAGATCTCAAGGATACCTCTGATGCACAGGTACATGTGTAAGATTAATGGAGTCTTAGGAATGTTTCCAGATCTACAAGTTGAAGACCTGCTTTCAATAGCTCTGGGAAATGGTTTTTCCTCGATGTTCTGTGCAGGGAGCATGTAGGAGGGAGAAAGTCTGCTGGATCTCATCTTATGTGACTATTTAGAATAAGATTGATGATTATTCTGGGAATTAATCCCATGATGTTGCAATTGGACAGCATTCTTCAGCTATCTTTCTGCTCCTTTTAGATAATACACATAGCATATACCAGATGTGAAAGTAAAATGAGATGTGTTTTAGGACACAAGGGCATATGACATTTTGATTGAATTTTAATCACTGTAAGTAGACATGAAATGAAATAGGGATACTTATTAGTCACTCAAGTGCAAGCAACAACCTTCTTGTTTTTTTCCCTAGCTGCCCTCATTTACAACCAAAGCACATTTCTGGATATTGCTCAGAAGAAACTAAACTGCCTTTTAGAGTATTTTATTGTGGGATTGCTTACCCTTTTTAATTCTGTGAATCTTTTTTGATTAATCTGCAATACATTCAATCATTCCATTCATGCATTCAAGCTGTGCAAGTGTAAATGTATTGCTCATTGTACTGGTACTGATTATTGCTTTTAATTTGAAATTGATTTTTCCCAGTCTTGACTGTTCTTTTTTTTCCTTCTATTTCTCTTGCAAATGTTAGGTTCCCCACCAGTTGCCACCTTTTCTCCTTCCCCTATATGCAGCTTGCAGTTCCTGCCTCTGATTTATCTTTCTAACATCTTGCCAAACTGAAAATTGGTGTGCAAGAAAGGATTTATGCTGATGTCTGTAAGCAAGCCTAGCTGGAAGGGTACAAACCATGTAGCCAAGAGTGCATTACAGAGATATAGGAAGGACCCAGAGGGAAACACTGACCTCACTGCACAAAAAATTTGGCTTTCTGGCTTTTTGTTGGATTTTTGTGGGGGGAGGAGGAAGGGGAAGGATTTAATGTATACTCAGTTCTATTCAGTTGGTGTAGTTATTACAGTTTTTTGAAAATGTTTGTTCCCATTTTTGACATAGACAATGTACGTGCAAAGCTCTTATGTAGCCAGCTATTAAAATTACCCATAATAACTTAAAAAGCCCATAAAAATTTATTATTGGGGTATTGATTCACCCAGATTTTAATTGACTGGAAACCAGCTTCTAAAATTTGAAAAAAATATGAAGCGCATTTAAAATTCTACAATTATTAAATGAGCAGTTAACAAAAGTGTTCATGTGCTCTGCTGGGAGGAGAGCAGGAGTGTTATCAAAGCAGTGGTTACTCCAGTTTGTTGACACCATAAAAATGACATCCAATGAAGGCCAAATACAGTTTGTTTTAAAGGAGTGAATGATTTTTTCACTTTAGTGGGACTGTGCATATGACTGGAGCAAAGCAAGGCATCCTGTCTTTTGAGGCAGTGGTGCATGGTTTTAAGTTTTCAGGCTGATTAAAGGTGAAGTCAGTAATAATTACATTTTTTTCACCAGCTACAGAAAGAGAGAAAGGTACAGTGAAAGAAAACCAAACCACCAGAAACCTTCTGTTAATAGAATTGAAGGATGTGGTGCCTGCTCTAAACACTGTGCTCTGGGAGAGAGGCTTGATTTACACTTGAACTAGTTAGCAAAACTGGTAGAAGTGTGGAAAAAAATGGCAAGGGGATTTTCAAAAGCAAACATGCTGTAAACAATGTAAATTATGTAAATATAAGATCCCATCTTGTCTTCCTAGGGATGTGTTAATTCACCTCTGTGTCATTACTAGGATGCTCATTTATGACCTAGGCAGAGGGAATATTTTCTGATGGATATGCCAAAGCAGAAAGTATGTTGTCAGCATCTTCCTTTTCCTACCCTCAGTAGTGACTACTTTGCCTTCGTTTCCATTAAACTTTTAAAAATTTAATTTTAAATATTACATAACCACACTTAATTATAGTAATTTTGAACCATGAATGGTAGTAAAGCTTTACTATAAGGTATATTCTTTTATCATTCATTAAGATAAAGCCAGTTAAACTATGCAACTTTATGATTTTTCACCTTCACATATGTCAGTAATTGTATCTGTTTTGGTCTACATGAATTATGGGTCTAAGCACCAACAAGGGTTTTGGAGGTGTGTGCCTGCACAAAATGAAAATCAAAATTGTGCTTTGTAAGTAGGGTGACTTGCCTTTACCCTTTTGTTTAAAAGCTTTCAAAGTATTGCCTGGAAATTAAATTTGTATTGAGAAGTGAAAATGGCTAGTAATTGGATACTGTCAACATTTTCCTAAACAGGTTTTAGAAGCTGTTATCAATTAATTATTTTATTGACTTGGATGTTTCCTACAAGTATTTAGCAGAAATATTTATAGTGGAAAGTCAGCATAAGTAAGGAAACCAGAACTAAAAGTAAAGGAGTCATAAGTTTTTTTTTTTCTTAATTATGACAAACCATGTTTAGCCTTTTGTGTTTCAAGCGCATTCTTTACTCTCAGAGCCAAACATATGCAATTAATTTAATAATACCTTAGTCCTCCCAGATTTTTTTTTATCCCCTAGAATCCAAATTAAATAATTTTTTTTTCATGTTCTCTGCAACTCTTTAATTTAAGGAATAGTGACAGGAGGAGGGGACATGTTAAAATGTAGCATTTTTACTTGGTGGTTGTTGTAGGTCATGGATTACCTTCTCTGGACACATGTCCTGGTTCCAGCCAGGACAGGGTTAGTTTTTGAGTAGCCAGAGGTTATTCTATACCACCTCACATCATTGGTGGGGGCAGGGGAAGGGATTCTTTTCCAGGCTGGAATATTGTGGAGGAGGTATTGGTTGGGTACTGTTGTTGAGGGGTTTCCATGTGAATGAATCATTCCTTATTTGTACCTTACATATCATTATTATTGTTGCTGTTATTGTTTGTTTTCTTATCTCATTGCTGTTTTCAGTAAATTGTTCTTGTGTCAACCTGTGATCTTTGCCTTTTGTGCCTCCAATTCTCCTCTTTAGCTACCCAAGGGAGGTGGGGGAGGAGAGGGAGCAAGTGGCACCTCATTTAGTCTCAGTGGGAGCACTAAACTGGGGAGTGCCATTCCTGAACCAGGACAGCACAACAGGAAGGTGCAAAAGGTGCCTCCACAGTACTAAGATCTCAGATCCAGTAAGAGTCAAAATCTTCATCATCCCAAAGACCTAGTAGGTGATAACACTTTGAAGCTGTCCTTAGCCTACATGACACTGATGTAATACTCTGCTAGAAGCATCTTGCACTGATGAAATAAGCAGGCTCGATTTAGTTGATGTCCCCAAGCACTCCAAGTGTTGGAAGTGCAGACACCAGGCCTCCCAAGTCTTAGGTTCCCTGTGCAAATTACTGGAGAAAAAGGAGACTATTAGGAAACAATTAATCTGACCACTTTTAAATGTCTAGTGTAGAGTAAAAAAACCAAAAAAATCTCTTCCTAAATACCCCTTTTTCTCTATTGATTAAACAAGTCTGGACAACTAGTTTACTATATTCCACATTTGATAAAATCAGTCTTGCTGTTGATCTGCAGGGGATAAGAGTGTGTCAGAACTGGTTTATAAACCAATGTTTTGATTTAAAAGATAAGGGGCACTGAACTCATGGACTATGTAAGGAATTTGAGATTAGGCAATGCAATTCCTTATTTTCTCAGTGGATTTCTGACCTTCAAACCAATGAGAGGGCTCATGTAGGGAAGCTGGGTTCCTAAGGAGGAGCACAGGACATTCAAGGGACAGGCTGTATATGAAATCCTTTACTTTATCAGAGCAGAGTGTCTGATGGAGACTTGTGAGGTGATGTCTTCATCCTGACTGGAAGAGTGTAGGCATGTACAAATTTCTTTCAATGAGCTGGGTAAAGATGACTCTCGATTTGGTCGTGGAGCCCATTTTCTTCCATCAGCATTCAATAACTTATTCATAAAGTGGATTTGTTTTTTTCTTCAGCTGAAGAAATCTTAACCCCTACTTGTTGGTTGGAGAAACCAGCAGGCTGTAGGATGATTTGGGTGGGCACTCTCACACCTTCATCTATCATGGAGCAGTAATTGCTCCAGGCCAAAAGATTGGACCCTGCAGCATTAGCAAGTCAGGGCATCCCTCGTTTTTGGGCCTGACTCAAAAGATGTATTGTGAATTCTGGAGTAGGTAGTAATTAATTTAAACTCAAGATGAACAGTAGAAAGAAAACTGTGAAGGAAGTTCACCAGAAAAATGTTTATTTGCAGATTGCCGTTGAAGTCATATAGCCTTGTCATAGCTATGCCACATGATGGGCCCTCCCAAGGCATCTGCTGCTCCCATCAGGAAACATCTGGGCTAATAAAAGCTGTGTGGTATCGTTGCCCCAGGTCTCAGTTGTGCAGAGGCTAAATCCATAACCAAATCATGGACAGTGATATCAGCCACTGACTTTGCAAGGAGCAGTTTAGCCCATATCAGCTAACTTTGCAAAGAGTCTCTACTGTGCCTGTGTGCAAACATGAATCCAGCTTTTTATATGTATCTATCTGGCATTTTTAGAAAAAAAACATTTTGACAAAACACTATCAGCATAGCTTGAATAACAGATTTAGCAAAAAAAA